GCCGTGCGCCCGGGCCTGCGCCATGCGCCCTGGGGGCGTGCGAAGCTTCGCGCTGGAGCTGGCCCGGGGCCCCGGCGGCGCGTACCGCGGCGGGGAGCGGCTGTGCGGCCGGGTGCTGCTGGAGGCGGCGGCGCCTCTGCGGGTGAGAGCGCTGGAGGTGGCGGCACGCGGCGGGGCGGCGACGCACTGGCTCGAGGGCCGAAGCGTGGGTGTCAACGCGGTTTCCAGCGACTACGCTGCTGCCGAGACGTACCTGCGGCGGCGGCAGCTGCTGCTCCGAGGTGAGCCTCTCAGCCCCCCCCCGCCCCCACTCCCGGCTGGGATCCCCTGGGACCCTCGCCCCAGATCTGGGCGCTCTACTCCAGTGCGGGGAGAGTTTCAGTTTAGAGGCTGTGTGGTCGAGTGACCTTTCTTAAGTAGTGGGGACCTCCTCCCCAGGGTCTTGACCCTCCCACAGGACACCTACCCACCTACCCCCCTCCCAAATCCTCTTTCCCAGGAAAGAGACACCCCCCGTTTACAGGGGGTGTCTGGGCACCCCCCCCTTGACAGAGCTGGGAAAACCCTCCACCTAAAGGCTATGCGGGGGGACCCTCCCCCCCACCCCTCCCATCCAGAGTTTGGAGAACCCCTGGGTGGAGTCGGGACATCCTTCTCTCTGGACCCCAGGATCTCCTTTTAACTCCAGATTTGGGTCCCTGATTTCCCAAAGAAGACCCCCATCTCCCGCGCCCTCAGTTTACCCCCAGTGTTTGCAGGAACCAGTTCTAACCCGGGTTGGGAGTTCTGGTGATAGCTGCAGGTAGGTTTGCATCCCAAAGAGAGAGGAGACTTGGGGTGGGGACAGATCGGGCTGGGAAGACTTCCAGCTCTGAGCCTCAGCCCCCCACATTTAGGCCAACACAGAGAGTCAGGAGCAGGCCAGGGGCGAGCCTCGGCAGTGAGCTATGTGTGCTGTGGAGGATGTTGGCTTCCTGGGTCCGCCAAACCCCTTCGGCTAAGCCAGACTTCACTATACACTTCTGTAAAATGGGCAGAGGAAAGAGGCAACTCAGACCTGGTTTCCCACCTATGGCCCCCTTTTTTCCAAGCAGATGCTTTGCCCACAGCCTTTCAGTCTTGTCTCAACACCCCAGGTGCAGGCTCTCCCCTTACTAGCTGTGGAAACCCAGACCTCAAGGGCCCTAGGGCGGGACAGGAAGGGGCCCCCCCCAGGCACTTCCCTTCCCCTGAGGGTTCAAGGGAAGTTGGGGCTGGTCTCACCCCTGGTTCCACTCACCAGCTGCTTCATTAAGACACTGCAGGGGTGAAGCTTGCAGAACTGCTGGGTAGCCTCAGGTGAGGCCCTGCCCTTCTGTGGGCCTCTGGGGACCCATCTGTGAAATGGACTCACCTCATCCCCCATCTCCTCCTGGGCTTATAGCCTCCAGGGCTCCACTTGGCCCTGGTGGGCGTGGGGGGGAAGGTACTAGCCCTTCATTTTGGTCTCAGAGTCCCCTCTTCCGTGCAGACCCCCCAAGCTGATCACTGCGTCTACCGCCTCTGCCCCTCCCTTACGTACTGTTCTGACCCCAATGCTCCTGTGGCCACTCTGGCTGCAGGTTACCGTGTCCGGTTATGATTTCCTCCCACTGGGGCTTCCGAGGCCTCAGGGGTGGTCCCAGGGTCGTCTGAGGGCCCCTCAAAGGTGGCCGCCAGGGTAGTGGGTAGGTTCGAGCAGCTGCTCATCTCGCTGCCAGCAGAGGGCGCCGGTGCCCTGCAGACCGCCAAGAGGAAACTGCCTTAGAAACTCTCCTGGAGGTTCTTCTCTGAGGAAACTGAGGCCCAGAGAGGAGTCCTACTGTCTCGAGGGCACACCGCAGCCCTGACCCTAGGGGTTCCTGGGACGTCCCTTCCACTCGGCTGTCTGGGAGGGGACTGGGGCCCGGGTGAGGGGCGGGGGGGGGGGGCTGCCAGGAGTGGGCACAAGGACGCCTAGGGGGTTTGTAGGAGTTTGCTGGGGGCTGCAAATTGGGACAGGAACATCGAGAGTTGGGAACAGCCCGGGCAAAAGCGCCGAGGCGCGACAGAGTGGCGGCTTGTGGGGAGTGGGTTGATGACGTGGGAGCAAGGCTCTGGGAGAGGTCGAGCATGGGCTACACGGTGATTCAAGGCCCGACATTCTGAGGTCAGGACTGATTTTCTTCCAGCTCTACAAACATGGAAACTTAGGTTTTAAGAGATTGTCACTAGTCCGGGGTCACCCAGCTAAGCGGGATTCTAATCAGAAGAGGGGGGCGGGCGCCCAAGCAGAGGAGGGCCCCACGCACTTCCTCCTCCTTCCGCCATCACTTAGAGGGGAAACTGAGGCCCAGGGTAGTCCTGGGCACTCAAGGCCCCGATTGGGTCCAGCCCATCCCACACCCCTCTAGCTCGGGGCTGGACGTGTCTCGAGTCATATCTGAAAGTGGTGGCCAGTTGATGATTAAACCTAGTGCCAGAATGCTCTTGCTGGGTAACTTCAAGCCCGGGACCCGCTTCCGGCCCTGTTTCCCCTCTTTACCCCCGGGGTCTTCGAGAGACCGGCTCTGGCCCCCGATGCTTCAGTTTCACCGAGGGTAGAGCGCAGGCAGCTGGGGCGTTTGAGGTTTTGTTCCACGCCTGGGAGGAGCCACGCCCCTCGCCGCGCCATTGGTGTGGTCCTTTGTGGGGGTGGGGCCTGTGTCTCGCCCCGCCCCGCCCCGGCCGCCGTATAAAGGCAGCGCCGGCGCCGGGCGCGCAGGAATTTCTGGCCTGGTCCGCAAGTGCGCCTGCGCACGTTGGGTCGGTTCGAGTTCTGAAGCTGTAGCCTCGGCGCCTCGCGCCGCCGTGCCGCCGCGTCGCGGGTTCGAGGCCAGGGTGTGTGCGTCGCGGGTTCGCATCCCGGCCGCGATGCTGTTCGACAAGGTGAAGGCGTTCGTGGTGCAGCTGGATGGCGCGAGCGCGGGCGCCGAGCCGGTGTTCAGCGGCGGCCAGGCCGTTGCCGGCCGAGTGCTGCTGGAGCTGGCGGGCCCGGCGCGCGTGGGCTCCCTGAAGCTGCGCGCGCGGGGCCGCGCCCACGTGCACTGGACCGAGTCGCGCAGCGCCGGCTCGAGCACCGCGTACACGCAGAGCTACAGCGAGCGTGTGGAGGTCGTGAGCCACCGTGCCACGCTACTCGCGCCAGGTACCGGCCGGCGACCCCAACGCGGCGCACGTTGCTGCGCGCTCCTGGAACCTGGCGCGGGCGCTGAGCCTCCCCTTCTGGCTTCTACTTGCAGACACCGGAGAGACCACGACGCTGCCTCCCGGGCGCCACGAGTTCCCGTTCAGCTTCCAGCTGCCTCCGTAAGTCTTACGGTGTCTGGGGCGCAGGATTGCAGGGGAATCCCTAAGCCTGCTGCTGCTTTCAGGTTTAGGGCTCCATTGCTCTGTATCTGGGGACCCTCGAAACCCCAGCACCCCAGCACTGCTCCCCTGGGGGCGGATCCTCCGGGTCTCTGCCTCTCATCCTAAGTCTCTGGGGCCACCCCCCACTTGTATCTCGCCCCCTGAAGTCCCTTCCCTCCATCTCCCCCCGGCCCCCCCCCCCAGGACCCTGGTGACGTCATTCGAGGGTAAACATGGCAGTGTCCGATACTGCATCAAGGCCACCCTGCACCGGCCCTGGGTCCCTGCCCGCCGGGCAAGGAAGGTATTTACTGTCATAGAGCCGGTGGACATCAACACGCCTGCCCTGCTGGTGAGCGGCTGTTCCAGGGGAGGTGGGATGGGAGCGTTGCAGGTAGGGGCCTGGCTGCTGGGTGACCCCGACGGGCTCCTCACCCCCTTCACTTCCTTCACAAAGTGGGAAATCACTGCTGGGCCCTGGCAGGAAGGGAGGCAGGCGTGGGGATGCCTTTGGAGTCCAGCGGAGCTGGGTGCAGATCCCACCTGCACCAATAATCTGTGTGGCTCTAGACAAGGTATCTCACCCTCTCTGAGCCTCGGAGGGCTCCATCTGTGAAATAGGGGACCGCCAGGACTTGCGATGATAATGGTTTTCTGAGCACTGATTGTATACTAAGCGATTAGCTCGTTCATCACATTTTCAGCCTTCCGAGATGGGTTTTATCTGCGGCTGTCTGTTACAGGTGGTTATGAAGAACCCAGGAACGCTGCCCCAAATCCCCCCTCTGCTGGGGGTGGTCGGGAAGCTCTTGGGGCGGGGTCTGTGGTTTGCACAAAGTGACCTGTTCCTGTCCCTCTCCTCTGCCCCACCAGGCCCCTCAGGCGGGAGCTCTGGAGAAAGTCGCCCGATCGTGGTACAGCAGTCGTGGCCTTGTCTCCCTCTCGGCCAAGATTGACCGAAAGGGCTATACGCCAGGTACCAGGCGAGCGCAGCTGGTTGGGGAAGAGGGCCGACGTCAGAGCTGCAGACGGGGAAACTGAGGCCACCCCCCCCTCCCCGCTCCCCACTGCAGGTGAGGTAATCCCAGTCTTCGCCGAGATCGACAACGGCTCCACGCGCCCAGTGCTGCCTCGGGCAGCAGTGGTCCAGACGCAGACCTTCATGGCCCGAGGTGCCCGCAAGCAGAAGCGAGCAGTGGTGGCCAGTCTCTCGGGCGAGCCCGTGGGCCCCGGGCGGCGGGCGCTGTGGCAGGGCCGGGCGCTGCGGATCCCCCCCGTGGGTCCTTCCATCCTGCACTGCCGGGTGCTACACGTGGACTATTCCCTCAAGGTAGAGTGCCCCGTCGGTCCTAGGAGGCAGAGGCGGCTATATCTGCTCTGTTCTCCAGACTGGGGTTCCCCCGAGGCTGCCTGGGGGCCCTCCCTCACGGTCTGTCCCTCCAGGTCTGCGTGGACATTCCTGGCACCTCCAAGTTGCTCCTGGAGCTGCCGCTGGTCATCGGCACCATCCCCCTGCACCCTTTCGGCAGCCGCTCGTCCAGCGTGGGCAGCCGTGCCAGCTTCCTGCTGGACTGGGGGCTGGGGGCCCTGCCAGAGAGACCTGAGGGTGAGCTCCCCATCCCGCTGTCCGGGGGCTGGGGGGGCGGAGAGGCGGGCGCCAGGCTGACCCTCCCCGCCTCCCCCGGCCTCAGTGGCCACGTCTGTGAAAGTACACAGTAACGATCGCATCGGTGGCCCCAGATCCCCCCCGCAGAATCTCATCCTGAGGGCACACCGCCCGGCAGCCCCAGGATTGGCGCACGCCGGCTCCTGCCTGTTGTCCCTTTCCCACCGGCCTCACCCACCCTGTCTCTCACTTGCAGCTCCTCCCGAGTACTCAGAGGTGGTGGCAGGTGGGGAGGTGGCGGCCGCGGGGCAGAGTCCCTTTCCACCGCTGCAGGACGCTGACGTGAACCTTGAAGGCCCCTTCTTCGCCTATATCCAGGAGTTCCGCTACCGCCCCCCACCCCTGTACTCCGAGGTGAGCTTGGGGGTCCGAGAAGCCTCTCCAGGCCCTGGGAGCCCGGGTCGGGGTGGGACTCGGATGAGTTTTAAATGTGAATGGCATGCATTCGCTCAGGGCCCGAGCCCCCCTTGCGCCCCAGTCCGCACCGCGTGCTGCTTCCCGGCTGAATGCAGGAGTCGGAGACGAGCAGGGTGGGAGAGGGGTGTTGCCGAGCCTCTGGAGCCCCGCCGTGGTAGTTGACCGGGTTCTTTCTGTCAGGAGGATCCAAACCCACCCTCAGAGGCCATGAGGCCACGCTCCATGACCTGCTGAGGGGCAAGCGAATACCTCGAGGGATGCGGGTACACACAGGCTTCCGGCCTCCGTGGACACGGGGAATGGCTGGATCGAGAGTGGCCCGACCAGACTGCGCTGAAGTTGGGGAATCCGCGGCTCGGAACAGGGCAGGGCTTTCCAACATAACCCAGGACGGGGGAAGAATCTGGAACCTGACTGACGTGGACTGGCCCTCGCGAGGCATCAGATGCCCCTTGTCGGATCCCGTCTTGTCTACACCGGCCTGTGGACAGGGCTTGGGTCCCCCGGGAGCCTCTGGTCTGGGAGAGACGTCGCCAGACGTAAACGCTTCCGGTCCCGTGGGACCAGAGGAAGAGACCCAGGACCGGGAGAGTCCAGACGGGAGCAGAGAGGGCTTCCCGGAGCAGAGGGCGTTCTGGCTGAGGCGGTGGCGTGTGAATAGCGGCCCAGCAGGCAGACAAGCAAGAGGAGGAAGAAGTCGGAGAAGGTCAGAGCTGAGCGATGTTTGGAGATCACCCCCTTCATCTTAGAACTGGGGCTCAGAAAGCGAGTGCCTCCGTTGAGGCCACGTGGCAAGGGCCGGCAGGCGAGAGGGCCCAGGAGTGAGGCATTCAGGGAAGCGGGTCATTGGAGCTCTGCGGGGCTTATGGGTGGCAGGAGACCACTGCTCCAGCCTTTGTTTTGTTTGTTTTTTAAAAGTATTTATTTATATTGAGAGAGCGCACGAGCAGGGGAGGGGCAGAGAGAGAGGGAGAGGGGAGAGAATCCCTAGCGGGCTCCATGCCGACAGCGCAGAGCCCAGCTCGGGGCTTGAACCCACGGATGGTGAGGTCATGACCTGAGCAGAGATCAAGGGCTGAACGAACGCTTAACTGACTGAGCCACCCCGGCCCCCCCTCCAGCCTTTGAAAGCCAGAGGGAGATTCCTGGCCTAGGCTGGGCCTGCCTGGGGGCTCCTCCAAGTACTCCAGGACATGCGACTTGCCTGGGTATTGTATGACCGGGGAAACCCGGTTCAGAATATTAAGCCAGACCTTGGGGTCAGAGGTCAGCCTGGGGTAACACAGGAGGACCAGTGAGCCTCTGGAGCCTTCCTGTATCCTGGAGGGACAAAGTGTGAGGGGGCAGCTGGACAAGCCCCCAGTTGGAGAGTCTCAGCCATAGCTGGGGGCGGGGCCCCCGCCTGGGACTCATCATTTTTGATAAGCCTTACATTGTTCTCTTTTTTACAGATTTTTTTTTTTTTTTTTTTTTTTAAATAAAAGCGTGGGGAACGAGACTGGGCTTACTGGTTTATTTCCCCCAGCTGCCAAGGGAGCTGAGTGGCCATGACCTCCATCTTGCGTCAGGATCTCAAGGGTCGAACTCCAGGCCGAGGAGGGCGGAGGGGCCCCTTGTCCAGAAGGAGAAACTGAGGCCCAGGGACACAAAGGGAGGCTGAGCTCAGGTTGGAGCTGGACCCCATGCCCCTTCCCTAGCACAGTCACAGAGGCTAGGAACTTGAATGGGGGAAGGCAGACAGAGGCCTCAGAGAGGAAAAAAAGCTGGCCGGGCAGGGGCGCCCCGGGACAGGTGGATCTTGCTTCTCTTGAGTTTGAACCGCTTTTGTTTTTATTCAGATGAAACTTCTATGCCATGAAATGAACCCCTTTAAAGCATACAGTTTGGTTAACGTTTTGTGCATTCACACGTGCGGTGTGCACCCATCACCTCCCCAAAGGAGACCCCGCCCCTGTTAGCAGTCACCCCCACCCACCCCCTCCCTCACTCCTGGCACCCACTCATCTGCTTCCTGCCTCTGTGGATTTTCCTGTTCTGGGCATTTCACGTGGATGGGATCATGCTCCGTGTGGCCTCTCCGGCCTGGCTTGCACTCAGCATAAACGTCCGCGTTTTCGTCCACGTTTTCACCCACGTGGCAGCGTGTGTCAACGTTTCGTAACTTTGTGGCCAAATGATATTCTTCAGCGTGGATGGACTACATTTGGATTCTCCCTTCACCCCTCGATAGACATTTGGGCAACGGCGAACAGGGCTGCTTTGGGCATGCGTGTGCAAGGATTTGTTGGCATGGAGGTCGTCATTCTGCTGGAGCTGCGGGTAGGGAAAGGGAGTCCAACGGAGTGAGGTGACTCGTGCAGGGTCCGGAGTCCCCACTCGGAACCGCCAGGCTCACAGGTCGGCTCCTGGAGGGGCTCCCAGCCGAGCCGGCGCTCAGGCCCCGCCCCCGACCCGAGGCCCCGCCCCCACAGGGCTGGGCCCAATTAGAACCCCGTTTTAATAGTCCCGGCTGTGTTCACCCATTTGCCCCAGGCAGTGAGAATTAACTGGCAGTCTGGGGTGACCATTGGCGGGGCTGAGGAACAGGGAGGAGGACGAGGGCACCCAGGGGCTGGACCCTGGCAGGTGTGGGTTCAGGCTTAGCTTTCTGAGTGACCTACGGGCAAGGGCAAGTCACGTGGCTCTGAGCCAGTTTCCTCACCCGAGACTCTTGGGACACCTCCCTGCCACAGCCTCAGTTGTCTCCCACCCGTGGTGTGAATTTTGGGTCCTGATCCCCACCGACTTCCGGCCCCGGGTTTTGCCCAGCCCTCCCTGTCCAGCGGCGTCTGCCCTCGGCAGCTCACCTGGCATCCAGCTTTGAACCCGTCAGATTTGGGGTTCCTTTGGGCCCAGCAGAGGGGAGATGCACCCACAGCACAGACCAGGTCACCCAGACCTCCACAATAGCTTCAGGAGGGGGTGAGCTCCCTGTCGCCCTGGTGTGCAAGACACAAGATCCCAGTCTCCAGAACTCTGTCCCCAAACAGAAGAGTAAGGTGTTTGTTACAAAAGTTTCCCCTGGCAGGCTTGGGAGGACAAGCCATCGCGCGTCCCCGGGACTTCTACGTCTGCAACTGTCTGGAACCTGATCCCTTAAGAGGTGGATTATCCGGTTCAGATAAATGAGAATCAGAATGGAGCTGGCTTGGGTCATCCAGAATTCAGGGAACCCCCTGAACACAGAGTGAGGCCCATAGGGCATAGAGGGGGGTGGCCGAGATAAAATCCCACCCTTCCCTAGGCCCCTCTCACCCACCCCTCCTTCCCCCCCCCCCCCCCCCCCCCGATCCCTGACTGCTATTCACGTAATCCAAGCTGGTTTCCACCTCAGGACCTTTGCACATGTGGTTCCCTCTGCTGAAAGGCTCTTCTTCTCTGTGACTGGCTCTTCTTCACCTCCTAACCTCATTTTTCCAAGAACGCCCCAACCTGTTGGTTAAAGGTGACACTCCCTGTTACTCCCTCTCCCATCTCCCTGTGGTGTTGCCTTCATAGCCCTCATCCCTCTCTGAAATTTTGATTTAGATACTCATTTATTTGAAGCTTTGAGGGCCTCTGCCTCTCTCTGCCTCTCCCGTGGTTTTTTCACTTGTCTCTTTTGCTCACTTTCTGTAAGTCTCTCGTCTTTGTCCCCCACCCCCACCCCCTCTCTGTCTCTGGTTCACCGTCTCTGCATCTCTGTTTCTCTCGCTCCTATCACTTGCTGTCTCTTGCCCCTGGCTCACCATCTCTTATGGTCACCATCTCTCTGTCTCAGTCTCTGAGTCTCTCACTGTCTCTGTTTCAGTCTGTCATTGTCTCTGTTTCCCCCTGTCTGGCTCACCATCTCTGCATCTCTCTCTCTTTCTCTCTCTCTCTCTCTCTCTCTCTGTCTTTGTCTCTGTCTTTCACTCACCGTCTCTCTTGTTTTCCATCTCTCTGTCTCAGTCTCTGTTTCTTTCACCATCTCTGTCTCCTTTCCTGGCTTGGCCAGGCCCCTGAGGCCCTGGGGGTGACAGGCAGGGCACCCTCTGCTTGTTTTCCACCCTCGCTGGCAGGGGGCCCGGCTGGGCCGCTGTTCAGGAACCCTCCAGCTGCCTAACTGCAGCCACCAGGCACAGCCGCCTCTGGCCTCTCCTCCCAGCACATTCTGTCCCGAGCAGGGAGCACTGGGGGTGGGTGGGGTGGGGGTGGAGGGTTCCTGTCGGGCTCCAGTTACAGGACAGCCCGTCCTGGTGGCCTTGCTCCCCACCAGTGCTGCCCCCTGATGCCTCCCCTCCTTGCTTGGGACTTAGATCTTCATGAATGGGGCCCCTCTGCCAGCTCATCCCTACCTCAGGGGCTTTGCACCTGCTGTGCCTTCCCCCTGGAGTTCCCTCTCCCCAGATATGCCCAGGACCTTCTCCCCAGCAGGCTTCAGATCACAAGTCGCTGCCTCAGGATGCCCTCCCTGTCTCTGGGTCAGAACACCCCTCAATTCCCTGACTCCTGTCCTGATGCCTTTCGCTTCCTGATCTAACCCCTTCCTCAAAGTTATACATTTACTTGTTCGTGGGTGTGGTGTCTGTTACCCCAGAGCCCTCCCGGGCACACACTAGGTGCTCAATGAATGCTTTAGAATTGTTGCCATTTCATCCCAAAGTTCAGCTCTAGCTTAGCCACCCAGGCGCCCACACACAGCTCCCGTCCCTTCAACCTGGCTGACCTACCCCAGACCCTGCCTCCTCCTGACCTTGGCGCCCCCTGCGCCCCCCGCACACCAGCAATATCTCTGCCCTCCCAGCTGCTTCTGGTGACTTCCCTCCCCCAGATGCACCTTTTCCAGCGAGGGGCTGAGTCTGTCTGTTTTTTAGACCCACTGGGCTCCATGCGGGGGCAGCTATCTCACACACACACACACACACACACACGCAGAAACGCATGCACACACACATACAGAGACCCAGAAACGGGCCGGTGAACTCGGGCACACACAGCCTAGACCTCCACGGACACAGACCCGCGTGCGCCTGCGTGCACACACACGTAAGGTCCAACAGTATTGACCACGCCGGGCGCCCCCGGCTCTGGTTGAGGGCTTGCAGGGTGTTCCCTCTGCCCTTGCTTCCCCCACCTTATTTCGGGTGTTCGAGGAAGGCCAGGAAAGTCCCCAGAAAGCATCAGGCTGGGCGAGAGGCCCAGGAGGAAGCAGTGAATCAGCTGGCAGCCATCAGTGCCCAAAGGGACCCCCTCCGGGGGGTTGGGGGGACTTACAGAAGACAACAATAAAGGATTGGGGGGTGGACGGGGCCAATGGGGCCTGCTGAGTGGGGTGGGGGAGGGGAGGGGGCATGCCTCAATGGGTTCCCGGGGCTCCAATACCCCCACTCTGCTGAGCCTGATTCCCAGGTGGGGAAACTGAGGCACAGGGATCAAATGACTTGCCCAAACCCCTCCAGCCATGATGGGGCAGGCAGAGGCCCCGGAAGTCCTTGGTAAAAGGTTTTGGGGGGGGGGGCGTCCCCTCTTCCTGCTCTCCTTTTGGAGGACAAAAGGAGCCTGGTCCACTTCATGGCTCCAGATGTGGACATACGACCAGGTCCGGCCAATTAGAGCCTTTTGTGACCACAGACTCAGGGACTGGTTCAGGAATAGGCATGTGACTCTGACTGGGCCA